ATTCTCTTGCCTCAGCCTCCCAAGTAGCTGGGACTACAGGCGCCCAACACAATGCCCGGCTATTTTCTTGTTGCAGCTGTCATTGTTGCTTAGCTGGCCAGGGCTGGGCTCAAACCTGCCAGCTTCGGGTACATGTGGCTGGCACCTTAACCACTGTGCTACAGGCACCAAGTCCTCTTTCGGGGGGAGGGGAGGCTGAGGCAAAAGAATCACTCTATTGCCCAGGCTAGACTGCTGGCCATGGCCTCATAGCTCACAGCAACCTCAAACTCCTCAGTTCAAGCAATCCTCTTGCCTCAGCCTCCAGAGTAGCCAGGACCATAGGCGCCTGCCCTACGCCAGGCTAATTTTTCTATTTTTGGTAGAAACAGGGTCTCACTCTTGTTCTGCTGGTCTCAAACTCCGGAGCTAAAGCAATCCACCTGTCTGGGCCTCCCAGAGTGCTGGAATTACAGGAGCCACCGCACCTGGCCCTACCCCAACTTCATTTATCTTTCCCCATCTTGGACTCTCCTAGAGGCTTCTAAGTGCCTGGAGACCCCATGCCAGGAACCTAGAGGAGCGCCCTCGGCACCAGAGGGGGCCCACAAACAGGAGAGAGGGAAGAGGAGATGGATCTCCTGTCAGAGTGGGGAAGCCCTGGCTCGGACACCTGGGTCTCCATCCTCTGCGCGAGATGATACAACACCACCACCACCCCTCGCGTCTCCATTTATGAACCAATGGAGAATTTGGATGCCGGGGTTCTGTTCCTGCCTTGGTGGGGACAGAGATAAGCCCCCAGGATACTAGTCTCTGGAAGTCCTCAGATAGCTGGGTCCTGGTCCCCTAGGGGGGCGTTGGATCTTACAGGAAGGCGGAGCTTGAATGGGAAGTCCTAGCCTTGCTGGGGGAGAGTGCTGACACCCAGGCGCTCTCTCCTGGAAAGGAAAGGTCTGGAACGCCCTGATTGGTGACCCTGGAGCGGTCACTGATATCTGACTCTCTGCTCTTACAGGGCTGCTGGGGCTCAGGGCTCCCTTGGGGGAGGTGAAGAGCCAGATTCCCCCTGAAAGGTATGGAAATAGTGCCCGGACTCTGGGGCTCCCCTCTTGGGGTGGGGAAGCTTCTGACTCTGAGACTCTGAGATTCTCGTTCTGATTCTCGATGTTGCTGTGGGGTGTGAGGACTAGGTCACCAGAGTAGCCGCGCCCCTAGGTAGGGAAAGGAGTGAGAGATTGGGGAGGGGCGGAGCCGATGGGCAGAGCTCCTAACAAACCCCGCCCCCGGAGCCGCCAGCGCGTCTCCAAATCTGCGAGGCAGCGGTGGGCACCGAGAGCCGGGCGCCACAGACCGCGCGTCCCGCTGTACCCTGCATGCCTGGGGTCTATGGAGCTGCCCCTCAGCGTCTCCCGGCCGGCCCCAAGCCGCGCCCGGAGCCTGCCCTGCGGCCAGGTAACTGGGCTGATTGTCCTGAGGGCAGGGGACGCTTAAAGGCTGGCATGAGGGAAAGGGCGACTTCTGGGTCCTGGAGGAATGGGGGACTGGAACTCCAAAGTCCTGGGGAATAGGATGTCGGGATGTCTGTATTCCTAGGCTGGGGAAAAGGATACACGGATGCTGGAGTCCTGGGGAAATAGGGGACCGGGAGATCTAGATGCCAAGGTCTGGGGCATCTGGACACCTGGTTGGGGAGGGTTAGTGGTGATCTGGACCCCCCTCTGGAAAAAAGGTCTCCTGAACCCCTAGTCCTGAGGGAATGAGGACTAACTGAACACTGCGCTGTTTCTAGGAAATCAGGATACCAGGACACCTGGGCCCCAACTATAGGGTCCTACCTGAGGACGTCTTTGGGCTGAAGCTCTGGCTGCCGCGTTGGGGCCTGGGGTTCGCATGCCTGGGTCCTTAGGAAGTTGTGGCTGTAGATATTTGGCGGTCCAGACACGTAGCGCCACCCTGAGGGGCTGGAGGATCCCTGGGCAAGACATAACACGGGGTCCCTGCCCTCTGCACCCCATACCTCCTTAGCCCAGCCGGGGAAATAGACTCAGTGCAGAACCAGGGGGTCGCACGCCTGGGATGGGCTATTAGGGGGCGGATCCCAGGGCAAAGGGTTCCGGGGGCTGGAGTCAGGCGTGCCTGGCCCCAGCGAGGCGCCCGCCCTCCTCCTGGCTTGGGCATGCTTGGCACGCAGCGCCCGGGCCGGTCCGATCCGTATGCGCGCCGCGTGCGCCCATTGGTATGCGGGAGCCGGCCCGGCGCGGGCGTGAGGCAGGCGCGCTGGCGGGCGGCGCGGGGGAGGCGGCGGCGGGGCACGTCCTCACCCAGAGCGCCGGTCCCGAGCAGGGTAGGTTGGATGCAGCGGCCTCTTACCAGGGCCTCCAAAAATGGGAAACTGAGGCACCACCCACCCCGGGTACTTCTAGGACCCCGAGCACCACACGGACCTCAGTTTCCCCAGAAGGTCTCCCGAGGGCACTGAGCGCTGCTTTTGGCTCCTTCCCGCTGCAGGAGACGCGGGGCTCAGAGCCCGCCTGAGCGAACCCTCCGGGAGATGGCGGCCCCCTATCCGAGCAGTGGCAGCGGAAGCGAGGTCAAATGCGGGGGAAGCCGTGGCACCAGCGTCCCGTGGGACTTTCTGCCAGGGCTGATGGTCAAGGCCTCGCCTGGACCCTGGTGAGCAAAGCCCCGCCCCTCTGGCAGTGGCCCCGCCCCCAGGGAGACGTCCCTGGGGACAATTCACACCCGATTTTCTGTCCTCCTCCCTAGGGAGATCTCACACCCAGCTTTTTGCCCCGCCCCTTGTGGCTAGAATTTTTTTACCTTAAGTACCTCAGCCTTCGCTCTGTACCCCATCCCCTGCGTTCCGTTTCTGGACCCTTCCTCAGGATTCAGGCCCAACATTCTTTTCCGCTCTCATTTCGTCCTCCTCCCCTCAGATTTTACACTGTTCCCATCTAGAAGGTCCAGAGAGCAGAAGCGTGTCTAGAAGTCACACTCAGGTCTGCTCCCACCTCCAGAGTGTCGAATTCACTCCCAACGTCCTGTAAGGTACCCAGCGCCCTAGGAGGCAGAGCTCGCCTCCAGACCCCCAGGCCCCGCGCCTCTGGGCTCCCAGGCCCGGCTGATGCCTCCTCCGCGCTGCCCGCCCAGCCTGCAGGCGCAGCGCAAGGAGAAGTCCCGCAACGCGGCGCGCTCGCGGCGCGGAAAGGAGAACCTGGAGTTCTTCGAGCTGGCCAAGCTACTCCCACTGCCTGGCGCCATCTCCAGCCAGCTGGACAAAGCGTCCATAGTGCGCCTCAGCGTTACCTACCTCCGCCTGCGACGCTTCGCCACGCTGGGGGCGCCGCCCTGGGGCCTAAGGGCCACCGCGCCGCCCGCCGGCCTCGGTGAGTGCGCATGCCTGGGGGCCAGGGTCCCTCCGCCCGTGAGGGCGAGTCGGTATTGCCAGGGTTGCCTTTTCCCAGTTCCTTGGCCAGGAGTGAGCTCAGGTTTTGGAGTTAGCAAGAAACTTTGTGTGTCCCTACCAGGTGGCTTCTGCTCTCTGGGCCTCACTTTATTATAATCTGTAAGATGGGCGCAAGAGGATGGGACGATTTCATGAATTCTGGCCTAAGCAAAGCCTGGCAACACTAGGGATCAGACGAGTAGTAAACGTTATTACTGTGTTTTTTAGGGAAGATGAAGCATTACTATAATAGAAGAAATGCCCAGCTGCATGGGTGGGAAATGGCGACCCACTCTGGTCTCCATTCACTAATAAATGAGAGACCCCGCACCCAGACCCAAGGGACCCCAGAAGGGGACACAAGGTCTTGGAGTCTGAGTCCTTGTTTGGGGGGCAAGAGGGAGACAGTATAATGTAGCGGGTAAGATGAGGAACTGCAGAATGACCCTCCTGAGTCCCTCCCAGTCCCTGCCAGCCACTCCCCAGTTTTGTAACCCGGGGCAGGTCACCTCACTTCCCCTGAACCTTATTTGTGAAGTGAGAATAAGGACCAAACCTCCTATAGGGGGCTAAGGAAGGAATGGACGAGGTAGTATTTGTAAAGCCTCTCAGGACAAGCCCAGCTCGAAGCAAGTGGTCAATATGGGACATCAGAGGTGCTTGCAGGGCTGTTGGGGCCGGCCGTTTACTGAGCACCTTCGGTGGGTCTGGCACCTTAGAAGCGCTGAGACCCAGCAGGAAACAAGAGTTTCTGTCTTGGAGCAGCTGGCATCCTAGTGGCCAAGATACATAAATAAAGAAATAAACAAAACAATTTAACCTATAATATGGAAAAATAGAATATGTATAATAAAGATACATATGTATAGATTTCTAATTTTATTATTACTCAGACTTTATTACTGAGATTTAGGATTGTTATGTTATTAATACTTCTATTTTATGTATAAGTTTTTTGCTGTTATTATGAGAAGGCAGTGAATGGTGTCAATCTGAGGTCCTAGGCGAAAGGGACAAGGGCACACCAGGCTACCCCTGTCCCCTCCTCCAGGAGAAGGGGGTGTCCTTAGGGTGGGGCTGGAGGAGCTCCAATTCCCCTCCTGCCCCGTCCCAGGGGAAGAGGGGGGAGAGAAAATAGCATTGATTAAGCTCGCAATAAATCACCATTTAAATTTAAATAATCCGGCTTCCCAGGCGGTAATTAGGCGAATTGACTGGCGCGGAGAGAATACGGCATTAGTGCCGCTGATTACTGTCATTACCGCGAACAACATGTGCGCCGGCGGGGGATAAACATCTTGTCTATTGTCCCCGAGCTGGAGGGACAGAAAGGGGGGGGGGGCTAAGAGAACCCCACGTTGTCCAGCCTCCCCATTACCCGGATGGGCATTCCAAGGCTCAGAGGAGGCAGGAGGCTTGCTGAGGTCACAGCTCAGAGGTGGCAGACCATGCCTTAATTGACCCCCGCCGGTACCAAGGCAACACAGTGTGTGTGAATACCCAGATGGGAAATCAGGGGACAGAGGCATTTCTAGGTCTCCAGGGTCCCTAATAAGAGGCCAAGCACCTGCTTCCATAGTTCAGATGGTGAAATTGAGGACAGCCTAAGGACAGCCGTTTTAGCTAAAGCCAGAAAGCAAAACATTGTGCCTCACACCCTCTAAAGGGAGGGGTCTCCAAGTCCTTCTCAGAAATAATAGTAATAATATACAATGCATGTGTCAGCCGGTGCGATAAGCACTGTGTACAAAATAACTTGCTTTATCAGAGGAATTCCCATTTTATATAAGAGGAAAGCTGAGGCCCAGAAAGGTGAAGCTGTTTGCCCACAGTGGGATTCTAATGCGGATGGCCTGGCTCCAGAATCTACTTTCTGAACTACCATACTCGGCTTGTGTGTAGGTCCACAGGGATGGGTCCTGCCTTGTATGTCTCTGCCTCTCTGGGCCTCAGTCCACTATCTTTGGATGGGACAACAGATGTTAAAGTCTAGCCCTGGGCCTCTGAGTTTGGAGACAGCTTGGCTCTCATGTCAACATTCCCTAATCTTGGCTTGGAGCCTATAGCTCAACCGGCTAAGGCACCAGCCACATACACCTAAGGTGGCGGGTTCGAATCCCCAGCCCGGACCCGCCAAACAACAATGACGGCTGCAACCAAAAAATAGCCGGGCGTTGTGGCGGGCGCCTGTGGTCCCAGCTACTTGGGAGGCGGAGGCAGGAGACTCGCTTGAGCCCAGGAGTTGGAGGTTGCTGTGAGCTGTAATGCCACGGCACTCTACCCAGGGGGACAGCTTGAGGCTCTGTCTCAAAAAAAAAAAAAAAATTCCCTAATCTTTCAACAAACACTCACTGAATATCTTCCCTGTGCCAGGTATTGGTCTAGGTGCTGATGACACTGCAGGGAACAAAATAAAGTCCTTGTCCTCAAGGGTGGACCCTTCAAACTCTACCTCCAAAGCCCCTTGTCCCCTCCCTTCCTGATCTCCTGCCTCTCTTCACTCCTTCCTGCAACACTCACCCCCTTGCTGTTCTTTAGAGAAGCATGTTCCTACCACAGGGCCTTTGCATGTGCTGTGACAGCTAACAGGAACTCCCTTCTCTCAAAATGTCAGAAAGTCTTCAGTAAGGACTTCCCTGACCACTCATCAAACATGGCAACACCACCCCTACTCTGCAGCACTCCCTATCTTCCTTTCTTGCCATATTCCTTTCCATACCACTTTTTTTTTTTTTTTTTGAGACAGTCTCACTCTGTTGCCCTAGAGAGAATGCCATGGCATCGTAGCTCACAGCAACCTCCAACTCTTGAGCTCAAGAGATTCTCTTGTCTCGGCCTCCTGATATGCTAGGACTACAGGCTCCTGCTACAATGCCCAGCAATTCTTAGAGACGGGATCTCGCACTCTAGCTCAGGCTGGTCTCAAATGCCTGAGTTCAGGTGATCCACTCACCTTGGCCTCCCAGAGTGCTGGGATTACAGGCATGAGCCACCGCACGCCTCCATACCACTTATTGTCATCAATGACTCTCTGTACTTATGTCTCTGGTTTATTGTATTATAGTGTGTCTCTTCCCCACAGCACCTTGGTTGTTGAGCCTAGAATAGTGTCTGGGGCATAGGAAGGGCTCAGTAATTAGTTCTTGAGTGACTGTGGATGTTAAGTGATCTGTAACATCTTTGAACTGAGACTCCCAGGAGGTATGGAGCAGACTAGGAGGAAAGTTTAAGAGGGTGTTCCAGGCAGAAGGAACAGCAAGTGCAAAGGCCTTGAGGCAGGCAGGAATCAGCTTTCTGGGTACAGGCTGCAGTCATGAGACCAGAAGTCAGTCTGGAGAGGAGTAAGGTATGGGATGAACCCAAAGTGTTCAGGATCTGGCTGTTACCCAGAAAGCCGGAGCTGGGGAGGTGGTGAGGGCAGAAGAAGAGAGCCCTGGGCTGGGTGTGGTGGTTCACACATGAGGTCCTAGCATTTGGGAGGTCAAGGCAGGTGGATTGCCTGAGCTCATGGGTTTGAGACTAGCCTGAGCTAGAGCAAGACCTCATCTCTAAAAATAGCCCAACATTGTGGCAGGCGCCTGTAGTCCCAGCTACTTGGGAGGTTGAGGCAAGAGAATCACTTGAACCCAAGAGTTTGAGGTTGCGGTGAGATATGACGCCACAGCACTCTACCAAGGGTGACAAAGCGAGACTCTATCTCAGAAAAATGTAGAGAGCAAGGGAAGTCAGGTCCTGGGGAGAGGTGGTCAGGTGTAGGAGACATGATCAGGCCTAGCTGGGGACTTGCTGAAAATACATGCAGGTGTGACAGAGAGCGGGCAGATCCCAGGAAAACACCTGGGAGAGGATAGGTGCCCTGATACTATTTGTAGTAATACTGGTAAGAACAGTGACAGGACTCAGGTATTAGGCAGCCACTGTATGCCCAGGCATGTGCTCTGAAAGCGCTCTATATGCACTAGACCCATTTTATAGATGAGGCTGAGAAAAATATAGGCAGAAGTGCTATGAGTATGGCTCCTCCCCAGGGCTTCCAAGGAGCCAGGTCCCTCTCCCTGGCTTCCCAGGAAGATGATGTCCCTGCCCCTCCTCTCTAACACCTGTCAGCAAATCTCCCCAGGCAGCTGAGACTTGGAGAATGGGAGGTGGAAGATAAGCACTTGGAACTTAGAAGAGGCCTTTGCTTGCCCCTGCCCCTCAGTACCCACTCTGTGTGTAGATGATGACTGTTTGGGGCTTGAACATGAGGAGAAGACAGATCTGGAAGTAGAGAAGAATCTCCTGCTGAATTTGGGGGATTACAGTGGAGTGGGGGGCATTTTGAGGGGAGGAGAGGAATCTAGGGGGGAGGCATTGGGGAGTTGGTGGAATTGGGGAGGTGGAGTCAGGGGCACTAAGACAGTGATGGAGACAGACTCTGGGGGTCCCTGTCACAGGAGATCGGACTGTGTATGGGTCCCTGCAACACCCCCTCTATCCTGACGCTCCCATTAACGCTGTTAATTGCAGCAGCTCAGTCTGACCCAGGCTGATCCTGGGAGAGGGAAAATGAAGGAATTAGCAAAAATGACAGGGGAAAATTGCGACAATTAGCAAGCAGCATTGTTCCTGCCTGTCACCCGGCTGGTTCTGAGCTTCATCTCAGGGGAGGGTCCCCATCACCCCCCCCCCATTATTGTTCCTAGAGCTCCAGGCGGGGGTGGAGGGAAAAGCAGCCTGCAGGCTATGGGGGGCTCCTGGGAGGAGGTGGCTCAGCCTAGACACGGGGAGGGGGAAGGGGGGGGGAAGGGGCCTCATTGCTCGTGTTTTGATGGTCTGGTAATAACAATACTAATCACACTATTAATACTAATCCTAGCTCTGTGTTCCACAGCACCTGCTGTGTGCCAGGCCCCACTAGGCCCTTTCCAAGCTGCTGAGCTGACTGACTGCTTAACCAGCTAGGGAGGCCAGAGCTGCTAGCAAACCCACTTAACAGAAGAGGAAATTGAGGCACAGAGAAGCAGAAAGGCTGGTCTCAGGGCATGCAGCCAGGAACAGCCCTGGGGCTTGATATCAGACTTCCTGGGCTTAGCCCCCCAGGAAGCAAACACCTGGGGACCCTAAAGGTCACTGAGTTCTTCTCCTAGCTCTCTGGTCACCACACCAGGCTTGCATGTCCTTTGTGGGGGGGGTCATCCTCTACAAGATCAGGGTCTCCTGAGGATCTGATGGGGACGGCCTCTGAGATCTCGGCCTACTCCTAGCACAAGGTCCAGGGCTGGCTCCTGACTATAGAGGACTGGGGCAGGGGTCTGTGTCCCATTTGCCATCTATGTCTCTTCATCCCTATCTCTCTCTGTCTCTCTGTGTCTCTTTTCCTTTGTCCATCTTTTTAATCTCTTCATTTCCCTCTATCTTTGTCTCAATTTCTTTATGTCTGTGTCTATATATGTCTCTGTCCCTATGTCTTTTTGTAAATTTTTATTTTTTTGAGACATTGTCTCACTCTGTTGCCATGAGTAGAGTGCTACGGCATCATAACTCACAACAATCTCAAACTTGGGCTCAAGTAATCCTCTTAACTCGGCTTCCCAAGTAGCTAGGACTACCAGGGCCTGCCACAACACCTAGCTAGTTTTTTCTATTTTTAGTAGAGACGAGGTCTCACTCTTGCTCAGCTTGGTCTCACACTCTTGAGCTCAATCAATTTTCCTGCCTCGCCCTCCCAGAGTGCTAGGATTACAGGCATGAGGCAGTGCGTCCAGCCAGTTCTTCATTCTTTTCTATGGCTGAATAATAATCCTGGTCTCCTGGTCTTGAACCCCTGGGTTCAAGTGCTCCTCCTCCTTTGGTCTCCCCAGTAGCTGGGACTACATGTGTGCACCACCACATCTGGTGACCACATTTTATTTATTTATTCATTGGCCAATGGACATTTGGGTTGTTTCCACCTTTGGGGTATTGTGACTCATGCTGCTATGAATACGTATATAGAAGTATTTGTGAGGACACCTCTTTTCAATCACTGATTATGAAAGTGGGATGGAAGGTGCTGGCTCATATAATTGTAGGATAACATTTTGGGGCACCAGTAAACTGTTTTCCACAGAAGCTGCACCATGTTACATTCCTACCAGCAATGTGCGAGGGTTCCGATTTCTTCACATCCTTGCCAACACGTATTTTCTGCATTTGTGATGCTAGCCCTCCTAGCGGGTGTGGAGCGGGATTTAGTTGTGGCTTTGATTTGCATTTCCCTAATGACTAATGATGCTGAGCATCTTTTCATGTGCTGTTGGCCATTTGTAATATCTTTCCAGGAGAAATATCTATTCAAGTTCTTTGCCCATTTTAAGTTGTCTTTTTGTTGTTGAGCTATAATATCTCTATCACTGTCTCTGCCTATCGCTCTCCAATATGCCTCTTCCCTGGTCTACAAGACTGAGCTCAGCACCTGCCCCCCAGCAGTCTTTGCTCCCCTGTTCCTCATTTCACATCATCTGTTTGATTCTTTTTTTTTTTTTTTTTTTTTTTGAGACAGAGCCTCAAGCTGTCCCCCTGGGTAGAGTGCCGTGGCATTACAGCTCACAGCAACCTCCGACTCCTGGGCTCAAGCGAGTCTCCTGCCTCCGCCTCCCAAGCAGCTGGGACCACAGGCGCCCGCCACAACGCTCGGCTATTTTTTTTTTTTTTTGGTTGAACCCGCCATTGTTGTTTGGCGGGTCCGGGCTGGGGACTCGAACCCGCCACCTTAGGTGTACGTGGCTGGCGCCTCAGCCGGTTGAGCCATAGGCGCCGAGCCCATCTGTTTGATTCTTCATACACTGGTCACAAATAATAATTCTGTATTTGTTAGTTTTTTTCTTGTCCATCTGCCTCTGGCCTGGTAGCCCAGTGAGGGCAGGCTAGGCTGTCTGGTCACCACTCTGCCCACAGCACTACCCAAGATAGGATCTGTGGCAGTTAGGTATTGAGGAGCTTTTGCTGAGTGAATGAATGAATGCATGAGTGAATGAATCCTTCTATGCAGTCCCTGGTCTGTCTGTCTGTCTCTGTGTGTCTTAGTCACTCTATCTTACTCTCCTGCCCACCTCTGCCCCTCTCCACACCCGAGGTCTCTCCCCTACAGGAGAGACCTCAATACCCCAAGGCCTGGGAGAAAGAGAGGGAGATTTGTAGACTGACTTCAGGGTGCCTGCCCCCGCTAGAGTCAGTCGGACCAACAGACCCTGGCCTCATCCTTCCCTTTTCCCCCAGCCCCTGGCCGCCGAGGCCCAACAGCGCTGGTGGCAGAAATCTTCGAGCAGCACCTGGGAGGACACATCTTGCAGGTGAGGACTTTCTCTGCCTGCTGCTCCTTGCTGCCATCTGGTGGCCTCCAATACAAAACAGCAGCCTCTTCAGCCTCCCTCCAGCATCCATGCCAAAGGGAGCACAAGAACTGGGAGGCGGAGTGCTGGGGCTTCCTCTCCTGCCTGACCCTTCGTAGGGCTACTGAAGCCCCCTACCCACCAAGCAGAGACCCAAATTTCAGAACTTTTTATGCCATTTGGTATCTGGACAGATAGACACCAGTTTCTCCCTCTCCCCCTCCCTGTCTCTGCCAACTCTAGTCTCTGGATGGCTTCGTGTTTGCTTTGAACCAGGAAGGAAAATTCCTCTACATCTCAGAGACGGTCTCCATTTATCTGGGTCTCTCACAGGTAAGGGACCTCCAGTGGGCTGCCTGGAGTGGCTCAGCCACCAACTCCCTTGCTAGGCCCATAGATACCCTTTCTCTCCCCCAGCCTCACTATCCCAGCAAGAAAAATGAACTCAATATATGGTTCCTAAAGTATGTTCCTTGGACTATTACATGGCACCCACCATGGCTCATCCTCACAAATGGGGGAAGGTCATTCATATAACAGGTCAATTTGAGCAAAGCAAGTTAGCGGAAAGATCAGTTTGCCAATGACCAGATGATTTGTATTTGCCAACACTTGTTCCTTCCTGGCAATTTTAAAGGTTTACAGAAGTTCGTATTGGAAAGTTTTGGAAGTTTCCAGCTTTGAAAAGCTTTCTGCGGCATTTTGGTTGGCCAGCAAGCTTTTCTGTCTTTACTTCAGCCATTGTTTCTGCCCCGGCTCCTGCAGCCAGAGGCTGACAGGTCAGAGGAAGGCAGAAGCCCATCCTTATGGTCCCCACTTATCACAGCACCTTCAGCCAATCCACCCAATAGAGATTGCTATTCTCTATCATTTTAACAAACATTGTTGGCAAATGGGAAATTTGGAAAATTCAGCATGTTGGCATTTACTGTTTGGTGGGTAGCTTTTCAGTGAGTTGTTAGAGATTCCTGGAGGAGGAGGACCCCAAAAGGAGGGGAATTTAGACACGAGAAAGGGAGAGAGGAAGAGTGGAGGACAGGCTTGAAGCTGGTGTGGGGAAGGAGCCCAGAGGGATGAGGGCTGGAAGGAAGGAAGCTCTTGACCCCAAGCCCAGAAGGGTGGGAGCTGTGATCTCTGAGTGGGGGAGCTGAAGTCCAGAAGACCAGTGAGGACGCTAGGGCAGGAACATGGTGAGAAGGCGGGGGTCTTGGCTGGGGGAGAAGATTAAGAAGGGGACTGCTATCACAGCTCTGGGAGGCAGCTCTGAATGAAAATGTGACTGATTAAAAAGTTCCTACTTGGGTGGCACCTGTGGCTCAGTGAGTAGGGCACAGGCCCCATATACTGAGGGTGGTGGGTTCAAACCACCCCCGGCCCTGCCCACCCCTCAAAAAAGTTCTAACTCTTTAAAAAGTTCAAAAGCCAGTGCTCTGCTTGAATTCTGAATCTCATTCCTGCTGGGACATCCTGGAATGTGTGGTAGTGCAGGATAGTTCACCGTTTGGGAGTGGGAGCCAGCAAGCAGGAGTTGGGTAGGCGGGGGCTCTGACACCTGCTTCCCTCTACATGCCCTTCTAAATACTGTAGAGTAGGTGAGGGCAGAAAATCCTTACTAATCTCTGTGTATGAAGGAAGAAGGGCCTAACTTTGTATCCACTTTTTTTTTTTTTAAGAGACAAAGTCTCACTTTGTCGCTCACAGTAGAGTGCTGTGGCGTCACAGGTCACATCAACCTCTCAGCTCTTGGGCTTAGGCGATTCTCTTGCCTCAGCCTCCCGAGTAGTTGGGACTACAAGTGCCCACCACAACGCCGGGCTATTTTTTATTACAGTTTGGCCGGGGCCGTGTTGGAACCCGCCACTCGGGGCCGGCGCCCTACCCGCTGAGCCACTGGCGCCGCCCTTTTTAAAGGGTTAAAAAAAATCGAATAAAAATACTAGAGTAGTATGAAGCACACCTGCCAGCAGGCGAGTGGGCCGAGCCTGCACCTGGCCAGCGGGCGAGCGACGGAGCCAGCACCTCACCGCCTCCGTATTCCCTTCCGTCGCCGGCAGGTGGAGCTGACCGGCAGCAGCGTCTTCGACTACATCCACCCCGGGGACCACTCTGAGGTGCTGGAGCAACTGGGACTGCGGGCCCCGGCCCCTGGCCCCCCCACCCCACCCTCTGTCTCCTCCTCTTCCTCTTCCTCCTCGCTTGCGGATACGCCCGAGATCGGTAATTCTAAGGGCCCCCAAAGAATGAAGCCTGAAGGTAGATCAGGGGACGCCAGTACACAGTATCCAGCTAAGCCTGGTTTACACGGAAAGCACTCTAGCTCAAGCTGCGCAGCATCTTTACAGAGCGCATGAAAGTCTAAATTGAGGCGGTGGGACTTGGCTCCCCGAGATGGGAGTTTATAGGCCCTTCCCTTTGGCTGAGAATGGAGGTGGGAGTGGCTTCTGAACTGATAAATAATAACAGGGCGGGCTTATCGGGCATCTACTCTGGGCAATGCCTTGAAGTACATAATTGCAGGCTCAGCTCAGTGGCCCACACCTCTAGTCTTAGCTACCAGGGGAGGCTGAGGCAGGAGGATTACCTGAGGTCAGGAGTTGGAGGTTACAGTGAGCTATGATGACACCACTGCACTCTAGTGAAGGGACAGAACAATTAAAAATAAAGTAAAAAAGTGCATAACTGTATTGGAACCTAACCACAACCCACAAAGCAGGAACACAGCAGAAAACTGAGGCACAGCACAGAGAGGTCAAGTTACTTGCTCCAGGTCACACAGCTATAAATGATTGAGTTGGACTCTGCTCCAGCATCAGTGCTCTTAGCCCTTTTCTCCAGTGGAAATTTCCATTCCCATGCTGGGAAAGGAGGACTTTGCTACTCTGGCAGCTCCTTTTAGCTCTGAGATGTAGGGGGCCCGTGAGGCTAACTGTCCTGTAAATAGGATTTTCCTATCTTGAGTTTGCTTAACAGCAAAAACATCTGAGACATCAGCTGTGCTTGCAAGTGCTGGGAGATGTCTGCAACGTGTGCAGGCAGGCAGGGCATATAGCTGTTCTCGTACTTAGATGTGAGGCACACGGTCATCTGTACGGGCCTATTTATAAGACTATATTATGGGGTTCACAGAATAATCTGGACTTGTGAGTCTTATTTGTTGCTATTCCCAGAGCTACCCCTCCTCTGTACCAGGCCCTGTCCTGGAGACACAGTAGTGATCATGACAGTTCCAGCCCCGCCCACCTGGGACTTACAGTCCAGTGGGGGAGACTTACCTGTTCGCAGACAATGGCAACCCAGAAGGTGAAGCTGACCCAGCCCAGGGAGAAGGGAGGGCTTCCTGGAGGGGGAGAAGTCTGTGCTGAGAACTGGAGGAGGTAGTCAGACAGGTGTGCTTTCTAGTCAGACAGGTGGGCTTTTTTTCTTTTTGAGACAGAGTCTCACTTTGTCTTGTCACGAGTGCTGTGGCATCATAGCTCACAACAACCTCAAACTTCTGGGTTTAAGAGATTCTCTTGCCTCAGCCTCTCAAGTAGCTGGGACTACAGGTGCCTGCCACGACCCCTGGCTGTTTTTAGAGATGAGTCTTGCTCTGGCTCAGGCTGGTCTTGAACCTATGAGCTCAGGCAATCCACCCACCTCAGCTTCTGAAGTGCTGGGATTACAGACATGGGCCACCGCGCCCAGCTAGGTGGGCTTTCTTCTGAAGGCCCTAGGGAGCTATGATAGGTTCAGAGCAGGGGAGGGGCAAGGTCAGATATGAACTTTAGAAAGACTCAGCTGGCAGCCACATATGAGGATCTTATGAGCTCCTCATTATGAGCTTACACAACCCTCAGGCATGTCTGAGAGTGAGTGTGGCCATGACCCTGTAGGTATCCCGTTTCTAGTTGGCTCTGCAGGGGTGGGGATGCCCTGTGTTTCCTCTTCAGGCTGCCATAACCTTCCTTCACTGTCTACCCCAGAGGCTAGCCCCACCAAGGCGCCCCCCTCCTCCCTCGTCCAGGAGCGCTCCTTCTTCATCCGCATGAAATCCACCCTCACCAAGCGGGGGTTGCACGTCAAAGCCTCAGGATACAAGGTGGGTTTGAGAGGCCTGGCCCCAGCCTGATCCAACCTTCCTTGCCCTGGGCAGAGGTGCTCTTGCATTCCCACCAGCTATGTCCTGGGAGACTCAGGGGACCAGGCTAGTGGCTTCATTGGCTGCACATAGTTTAGGAAACCAGGTCTAGGAACTTGGGGGTCACATACACACCCCTTGTGTCCTAGTGCTTGTGGGTGACAGATGGAAACTTACCTGGTGATTATGGTCTGTCTGCCTCTCTGGCACTGCCTTGCCCTTCCTCCAACCATGCCCATGGTCAGCAGGTCATCCATGTGACTGGGCGCCTTCGGGCCCATGCACTGGGCCTTGTGGCCCTTGGCCACACGTTACCCCCAGCCCCACTGGCTGAGCTGCCACTACACGGCCACATGATCGTCTTCCGTCTCAGCCTGGGTCTCACCATCCTTGCTTGTGAGAGCAGGTACAGGGGTTGGGGGCTGAGGTGGGTGGATGGGGATACACAGGAATCCTGGGGGTCTGTGGGCTAAAGCATGGGGAGCCCCAGGAGGTGGAAGAGCAGTGAAGCAGGGCAACGGGAAGAAGGTTGTGAAGGCAAGATGGGGGAAGGACTGGGGCCATTAGAGATGGAGGGGGGAAGGAGGGGTATGCCTGGTGGGAACTTGGACTCAGGACCTTCCTCTGGGGCTGATTCTGCAGAGTTCCCTCTGTGTCAGCCTGTTTCTCTCTGATCTCTCATCCATCCCCTCTCCTGCACTACAAAGTAAGGACAAATAAAAATAACAAAATGGGGCTTGGCGCCTGTGGCTCAAGCGGCTAAGGCGCCAGCCACATACACCTAAGGTGGCGGGTTCGAATCCCCAGCCCGGGCCCGCCAAACAACAATGATGGCTGCAACCAAAAAATGGCCAGGCGTTGTGGCGGGCGCCTGTAGTCCCAGCTAGTTGGGAGGCGGAGGCAGGAGACTCGCTTGAGCCCAGGAGTTGGAGGTTGCTATGACCTGTGATGCCATGGCACTCTACCCAGGGGGATAGCTTGAGGCTCTGTCTCAAAAAAAAAGAAATAATGAAATGATCTCCAAGCGCTAAGTGCCTGGGTGCATTCACCATCTATCTGTTTGACTGCTCACAGCCACCCTAGGAGGGATGCATTATTATGTCCATTTTATAGAGAGGAAAGCAGAGGTCCAAGGCCAGGGTTGGAACCCCAGGTGACTCTGAAGCCAACACTGCCTCCCCTCCCACCCATGGTCTCAGAATCCTCCTGCCCTCCTCTCTCTGTTGCTCTCAGAGTCAGCGACCATATGGATCTGGGGCCCGCAGAGCTGGTGGGCCGCAGCTGCTATCAGTTTGTCCATGGACAGGACGCGACCAGGATCCGCCAAAGCCACCTGGACTGTGAGATACGCCTCCACTAACCACCCCACCTACCACCCCCTGACCTGAGCATCCCAGTGCCCACCTCCCTGGAAGTTCTCCATAGGGCTGGCCACAGTCCCTTCTGCTGCACCTACAGCTCCAGGGGCTGAATTCAGCACAGAAGAGCAGCAAGGAGACTCTGAGCAGCGGCTCAGGGTGGGAGCGGGAGTAAAGGGGACTTCAGGGTCTCTGACCCACCCTTAAGAACCTAGGTGGCCTTGATGCTGAGCTGTGTCCTGGTCTCTCTGACACTGGCTCTCTCTGTCTCCCTCTCTGTGCATTTGCCTTTTTCTCCTCCCCACGGTCTTTCCCTTCCTGTCTCCCTGCCCACCCGCCTCTGCTGGTCTTTCTCTTTCTCTCTTCTGTTTCCTCCTGTCCACCTGTCTGTCTCTCTGGCCATCTTGCCCCCTATTCCCACCCTGTCTTTTCTCATCTCTCCCTGCCCTGGGCGGGGCCCAGTGCTGGACAAGGGTCAGGTGATGACTGGTTACTACCGCTGGCTGCAGCGCGCCGGGGGCTTTGTGTGGCTGCAGTCCGTGGCCACTGTGGCTGGGAGCGGGAAGAGCCCTGGGGAGCACCACGTGCTCTGGGTCAGCCACGTGCTCAGGTGAGGGCCACCCCACCCCTCCCACCATGGGCTCAGCTTCTTGGACCCCATCCTGAAGATTCTGTTGTGTTTCCCTTCCTTGGGTGGAGGTTCTTCTGGGAGGGCTTCTAGAACAGGACAAGCCCAGAGGAGTCTGCAAACATGAAAGGGACAGGGGAAGGTAAGGGCAAATGCCTAGAGGTAGAACAGTCTCCTTCAGGAGACAGGAGTTGCTGGTAGAAGGGGGACAATACCTTTGAAAGAGGCAGGAGCAGGTTCACAGTGGCCACAGGCCCAGGCCCAGGGTCTAGACTTGGCTCTGGAGCACTGGGAAATCATGGCAGACTCTTACCAGGGGAAGGCCACAGAGCAGATCAATTAATTGGAAAACCAGAATTGGGGAAGGGCATTCCTGGCAGAGAGCACAGCTAAGGCAAAAGGTCAGAGCAACAGTCTGACCTGTCCCAGGAACTGAAGGTCATGCTTGGGGATGGAGCATAAGGTCATCAGAAATAAGGCTAAAGATGACTGCAGGGTCTTTTCTCTCAGGGGCATTAGGGAGCCATAGAAGGCTATAGAGCTGGAGAGTGTCACAATCAAATCTGGGTTTTTGTTTATTTTTTGAGATGAGGTTTTGCTATGTTGCCCAGGCTAGATTTGAACTCCTGGGCTCAAGCAATCCTCCCAAGTAGCTAGGACTACAAGTATGTACCACCATTCCTGGCCCAAGTCTAAACCCCCCCTGGCTACAATGGAGAGGAACTGGGGGACAAGACAGGCACTGGGGGAACAAGGAGGGGGCTGGGACATGCCAGACTCTAAGTGTGGAGGAAGACAGCCATCTTTGCCCACCTCTCTGGCTTTATTGGGCCTGGATTTGGGTTCCTGAGAGGAGCGGCAGGTTTGGAAGAAAGATACGGAGGTCAGAGGAGCATAAGGTGCCAAGGGATACCAGGCAGTGACATCCATGTGGCCAGAAGCCATACAGGTCTAGCCTTAGAGAGTCAACCTGGGCTAGACATCACCTTGCAGTTTGGGGGTCTGGGGAAGTCCATACTTATCAGAGACTGGGCAGCTTGGGAGGACCCCTGGCCCCCAACCCATCTGTCTTGTCCCCAGCCAAGCTGAGGGTGGCCAAACACCTCTGGATGCCTTCCAGCTTCCAGCCAGCATGGCCCATGAGGACGAGTCCAGCCCAGTGCCAGAGCCCACAAGTAAGCCCCATCTCAGCCCCCCGGGAAACTCCCAGGAACCCGTGGGACCTGAACTGTCTGGTCCAGAAGCTAGTAGCCACACATGGCCATTTACATTAACATTAAAACTTAAAATCCACATTCTCAGTCATACCCACCACATTTTAAGGACTCAGTGGCCACATGTGGCCAGTGGCTGCCTTGTGGGACACTGCAGACATAGAATATTTCTCAATCCCAGTCCTGCTGACATTTGGAGCTGGATGATTTTTGTGAGAGCTGCCCTGTGCACTGTAGGATGTTTAGCTGAGATGCCAGTGACACCCTCCTCCCAGCTGTGACAACCACAAATGTCCTCTGGGGTACAAAACTGCTCCCAGCTGAGAACTACAGTCTAGCCAGTGGAGCGTGCTCCACTCCCACACATGGGAGGGCCAAGGACACGGTGCTCTCAGACTCTTCCTCTTGCAGAGCCCGAGCCTCCAGCAGAAGGGAAGCAGGCTGCTCCCCTGGCCAAGAACGAGACCACCCAGACCCGGAGCAAACGCACCAAAGTGGAGCCCAGCCCAAGGGAAACTAAAGACTCAGAGGACAGTGGTGATGAAGAGGAGCCTTCCAGCCACGCGGCCACCCTGCGGCCTGAGTTCACTTCTGTCATCCGGGCAGGGTCCCTGAAGCAGGACCCGGTGCGACCATGGGGCCTGGTGCCTTCTGGGGACCCCCCTCCGACCCTACTCCACGCGGGCTTCCTGCCGCCTGTAGTGCGGGGCCTGTGCACACCTGGCACCATCCGCTATGGCCCTGCAGAGTTGGGCCTCATGTACCCGCACCTGCCGCGGCTGGGCCCAGGCGCTGCCCTCTCGGAGGCCTTGTACCCCACCCTGGGCCTGCCCTACCCTGGGCCTGCGGGCACCAGGGCTCAGCGCAAGGGGGACTGAGGACTGGGAGAGCCTGGCCTTGAAGGACGGCTGGGGCAGGGGTGGGGTGGGGTAGGGTGGGGGTGGGGGTACCCCTGTAGCCCTCTCTGACAATTAAATGCCTGCTCCGCTCTGCCGCTTGGGCAACACCGTTCCTCGCTCCATTTCTGTCTCCTTCTTGGGTCTCCGCCCTCCCCTCTGCTCTATCCCCTTCAGGCCAGCCTTCCCCAAGTAACAGCACCACCACATTGGCATCTGGAGTGAGCGAAGGGTCAGGTTTTAATGTCCCAGTCCTCAGGGCCGTGGCCCTGCTGCTCACTTGGGTGGTGGCCGGCCCGATTCATCCGGGCCTTCTGCGGTGGCCGTCCCGTCATCTTCCGGTACCAGCTCCACGTCCAGCTCGAGTTGACCCATGTAGAGGCCGACCGCGCAGGCCCAGAGCAGACTGGCAGCCAGCACAGCACCCACGCCCGCGGCCGCGCCCCCCAGCGTTAGCTGCATGGGTCCCCGCAGTGCCGCCAGGCCGACAGCGTATGATGCGCTGCCCCACACCACACACAGGCCGCCCAGCAGGAAGAAGCCTGCGGAGGAGGTGGAGCAGTCAGTGCCAGGGCTGGGCAATCTCAAGGGGTCAGGGTGGCACAGGGCCTAGGTCCAGGCATGCAGGGTGGGTTAAAGTTGGAGGGGCAGGGGCCAAGCCATGCAGGGCAGAACCAGCATGCACCACCCAACTAGGACCTTCAGCTTTGTTGAGAAGTCAGACTGGGTGGGCACAGGCATGCCCTGGGCCACCCAATCCCATGGTGTGGGAATGCTCAGCAGTGAGGGGGGTGTCCTCCAGTGGGGGAAGAATGGGGACAGATTAAACTTACTATTGGGGGTGGGATAGGACAGGAGGAAGTCTATCCTCCAACAGGGCTTGTGGTGGTTGCTCTCCATGCCCTGGTGAGGGTGAAAGTGGGGTTCTGCACTCACCGTAGGCGGCTTCCCGACCCATGTCACTCTGCATGAAAGAGATGACCCCGATGCCCGATGCCAGAAGGCCATTTCGGAACCAAGACAGGAAGGCTAAAGGGAGGGGGAGATGGGAGGATCAATGGCACCCCAAAACCTACCTCCTAGACCCCCTCAGTCCAAACTAAGGGCATCTCTTTTCCTCTATTCCACCCAGCCACAAGGCAAACCCACCCCAAATCCTCACTTCTTCTAGAAAGCCCCCAACTTAGCCCCACGCCTGCATGTCCTCTTCCCCAAGCTCTGCAACACCAGAGATCCAAGTTGATCTCTGTAGAATCTGAAGAACAGTGTAGAACTGAAATCGCAGAACCTCAATCTGGAGACAGAAGATGCCAAGGAGTCATCTTGGTCAACCCCCTCCCCAGTGTACATCCCCACAGCCTGCCCTCTCACTTCTTTTTTCAGAACTCTGGGACCCTGGCTTCTCTCCAGCCTCCTCTTTCACGTCCCTTCAAATGCCACCATCTCCTACCGGGTATAGCCTGTGCTGAACCGGTCCACGTCTCCCCACATTCAATTTGTGGTGCCAACGGACCGGCATCTTTACAAACCCCCCAGACGACCCCATCCTACCTAGGCACCTTATGGGTTCTAATGTGGACCTTCCCCCTCCCATCAGAGAGCTCCTCCCCCCCTGCAGTCTAGATCACCTCCCCTCCAATCAGTCAAGAGCAGTCTTTATGTTGGTTGTCCCCTCTGCTACGGAGATCCACACTCCGGCTCTATGCAGAGTGGTCGCCTCAGCAATCTGAACCGACCTTTTTGTAAGCAACTCCCCCACTCTTAACTCTCTGGAAGTATTTCTCATCCAGGAGGCCGTAATTCTACGAGGCTGCCTCTCCTAACTGGATCGCCTCCTCCTAACCCTCCCATTTACCTGGACCCACCGACCTTATCTGCAAGCCCTTCCCCTAAGCGGGCTACAGGAGTCTGCAAGCTCTTCTCCTATGCGAACAGCCAGCGCTCTTGCAGCCAGGGGTTCCCTGCGGTCATACCACAACCCGTCTCCCAGCAGCTGGGTCCTTTATCCAATAGAAGGTCTAGCCCTATCGCCCACTCACAAGTGCCGGCTACTTCGCTATCTGGAACCCCTTCTCCCCTGTGGACAGACCCCAGCCCCTGACACAGACCTGTCTCATGCGCCTTCCGGAGGAGCCAAGCGTCGGCGCGATCTAGCTCGGACACTGGGGGTGGCGAAGCCCCGACGCGGGGACCGTGGCCGGGGGCAAAGGACCCCCGGGAACCCCCGCTCCGGGACCGCTGAGGCGGCAGCAGTGCCCTCCGGAAGCGGAGACGGGCCAGGCGGGCGGCCCGAGCCCACCACCAGCCACCTCCCATGGTTCGCACTAGGGCCGCCGCGCGCCGTACCGCCCTAGGGGCCGCCCGTAGGCTGCGGCTCACGTCACTCAGCATCATGGCACTAGCCATTGGTTTTATGCCCGCCTCTCAGAGCCGGTGTGCACTGTCCATTGGTCGCAATGACAGTGTTCCCCTCCTCTGTCATCTATGCCGGTAGTGCGCGTACCGCTTTGATTTTGCCAGTGAACTACGAATCCCATAGTTCATTGAGCCCCGAGAAGGCCGGTCCTCTGGAGCGAGCTTCGAGATGTCTGTAGGGACTTGTAGTTTTTATTAATAACTTTGATTCCAATGGCCAGGAAGAAAAAAAAACTTGAGGGGCTTAGTGTAGTATCTTTGCAAAATCATGTATAGCCCAAAGAGGAGAGTACAAAACATCAGAAATCCCCGTGAGTGATTACTACTAATATTTTGTTGTTTCCAGTCTTTTTTCTATGCAGATGTGAAATAAGATGCTATTTAACAAATTAATTTTGTTCATATAACGATATGTTGTGAACACTGGTCGGTAGCATTGAGAATATTTTTCCATGGCATTTTTTTTTAGACAAATTCTCACTTTCCTGCCCTTGGTAGAGTGCCATGGCGTTAGAGCTCACAGCAACCTCCAACTCCTGGGCTCAAGCGATTCTCTTGCCTCAGCCTCCCAAGTAGCTGGGACTACAGGCACCGGCCACAATGCCCAGTTATTTTTTGTTGCAGTTTGGCTGGGGCCGGGTTTGAACCCGCCACCGTCGGTATATGGGGCCAGCACCCTACTCACTGAGCCACAGGTGCCACCTCTGAATGTGGTTCTAATAGTGAAAAGAAATTCCTGGGTGGCTCACACCTGTAATTTCTGCACTCTGGGAGGCTGAGGCTGGTGGATTGCTCGGCCCAGGATTGAAGACCAGCCCGAACAAGAGTGAGCCTCCATGTCTCAGGGCTTGTGGCTCATGCTTGTAGTCCCAGATACTTGGGAGGCTGAGACAAGAGGATCACTTGAGGTTGCTATGAGACTCTGTCTCAAGAAAAGAAAAAAAAAGTAATTCATGGTAGGGCGGTGCCTCCTACCTGTAATCCTAGCTCTCTGGGAAGAGGCAGGAGGATGCTTGAGGTCTGGAGTGGACACCATCCTAACCAACAGTAAGAGTCCCTCTCTACTGAAAATAGAAAACTTGAGCTGGTGGCTCCCACCTATAGGAAGCACTAGGAAGCACTCTGGGAGGCTGAGGCAAGTGGATTGCTTGAGCTCAGGAGTTCAAGACCAGCCTGAGGAAAAAAATCAAGACCCTGTCTCCATTAAAAATAAAGAAAAACCGCTGCAAGAGGATCATTTGAGCCCAAGTTGGAGGTTACTGTGAGCTATAATGCCACAGTACTCTATCCAGGGTGACGGCTTGAGACTCTGTCTCCAAAAATGAAATGAAATAATGAAATGACATGAAATTAAATGAAACGAATTGGGCTTGGGGCCCATAGCACAGTCATTATGGCACAGCCACATATACCAAGGCTGGTGGGTTCAAGCCCGGACCAGGCCAGCTAAACAACGACAATTATAACTGCTAGGGCATCAGCCACATACACCTGAGCTGGTGGGTTCCAATCCAGCCTGGTGCCTGCCAAACAACAATGATGGCTGCAACCAAAAAATGGCCGGGCATTGTGGTGGGTGCCTGTAGTCCCAGCTACTTGGGAGGCAGAGGCAGGAGAATCGCTTGAGCCCAGGAGTTGGAGGTTGCTGTGAGCTGTGATGCCATAGCACTCTACCCAGGGTGACAGCTTGAGGCTCTGTCTCAAAAAAATAATAAAATAAAAATAATAGCCAAGCATTGTGGTGGGCGCCTGTAGTCCCAGCTACTTGGGAGGCTGAGGCAAGAGAATCGTTTAAGCCCAAGAGTTGGAGGTTTGTTGTGAGCTGTCATGCCACAACACTCTCCCAAGGGTGACATAGTGAGACTATCTCAAAAAAAAAGAAAAAAGAGAAGAGATGAAATGAAATAAAAACTTAAACAGTTGTGGTAGGGCACTCCTGGAGTCCCAGCTATTCCAGAGGATGAGGCAGAAGAATCGCTTGAGCCCAGGAGTTTGCGGTTCTAGTGAGATATGTTGCCACTGTACTTTATCCGGGGTGCCAGAGAGAGACTCTATTAAAAAAAACAAAAATGGGCTCGGCACCTGTAGCACAGTGGTTACAGTGCCAGCCACATACACAGAGGGTAGTAGGTTTGAACCCGGCCCAGGCCTACTAAAACAATGATGACAACTGCAACAAAAAATAGCCAGGCATTGCGAGGGCGCCTGTAGTCCCAGCCACTTGGGAGGCTGAGGCAAGAGAATTGCTTAGGCCCAAGAGTTTGAGGTTGCTGTGAGCTGTGATGCCATAGCACTCTACTGAGGGTGACATAGTGAGACTCGGTCTGAAAAAAAAAAAAAGAAATGCCTGTCCCCTAGCCAGTTCCCATCTTCTCTTTCATACTTTATATTTAATAGTTTATAACTGACACATTATAAGCAGGTACTACAAGTGATTGATCCTGAATCCTATTTTTGAACACATAGGTTGTTTCCTTTCCAATTTTCCTTACTATAAACAGTTCTACTTTCCCTTAAGGACTAAGTCTCTGGTCTAACTGTGGAGGGAAATGATTCCACTGGGAAACACCAGCAGCTGGTTCTGCTGCTAGATCCACAGTGGCTTCATATTATCCTTACTATACTGTGTTATATGATCACTATAAATAACTGTCGCTGCCATGAGGCTTGGAGCTTCAAGTGGACTGGATTTTTTTTTTTT